AGCAAACAGCACTCCTTACTAGCGCTGATGTTATTACTTAATTAGGGTAATGAAATGTCTGCAAGAAAACAAGCAAGCTCAGAGAGTACCAAGGACCTCTTAACAATAACATATATGCAATGTACTGATACACACTAAGGATGCCTATTTTTTACTGTTCTAAAATAAAAATGGAAGTGTTACAAAGCAATTTAATATTTTATCTAGTAAAAATATTTAAATATCTAACCACCAACAAAAAATGCTTTTCAGAATTAGCCAGATGTTATCACACATATTTGATAGTAATGTTACCCACAACTTCTCAAGGCTTTTTTCCTCTATTTTGGAATACATGGATAAATAAATTAACTGCAAAGAAAATTTAACTAAATCTGTATTTTACCTTTGACAGCTGATGACCATCAAGCTCTCATTTGGGATATCCAGCAAATGCCTCGTGCCATTGAGGACCCAATACTGGCTTACACAGCAGAAGGAGAAATTAACAATGTTCAGTGGGCATCAACCCAACCAGACTGGATAGCTATCTGTTATAACAACTGTCTAGAAATCCTGAGAGTGTAAAAATAATTAGGCTATGGGAAATAATGAAGCAGGATGGTAGTCTTTCAGTCTTCTAAAGTTAAGAACAAAGCATTGAAACAGTGTCACTAGCTCTTATTAACTTCTTCCAGGAAGACTTACAACTGGAGTTAATGAGTATATACGATGAACTTCTTACCCATCGTTTCTGTCTCTTATCTTCCCCACTCCATGCCAATGACTTAAAAATGCAGGGATATCCTTGGTGTTTTAGATCGTCTCAGATTTTATCAACATGTTCAATTAAAGTTATGTATATATTATGGCCATTTGTGTTGAGCATTTTTATTGCAGTGGCACTGAATGCCAATTAACATTCTACCTGAAATAATTTGTAATAGATGCCTAAAAGCTATTCATTGTTATAACATTATAACAGTACCTTTTATTAAATATTATATTCTTTTTCTCTCCCTCCCTGTTTCCAGGCAATTTGTTTGATACCAGTTATGAGGCATCATAATTATCGGTTTGTAAGGGCTTCTATGCAACTAAGCTCTACTTTTGTTAAAATTGTTCTTTGCCTATAAGCAAGGACTTGTCCTTTGCAGGACTTGTTGGAGAATACATTTTGCTCCTACAAAAATGTCTTAGATTGAAGCTTTAATTTAATGTGCTACATTAGATAATCATTTATATGTTGTTGTCCCTTCTCTACAACTAAAGACTCTTCAAATGTAATCGAAGTATATAAAACTCTGGGTATTTGGATATATACCTAGTATCTGATTGCAAAAGTGCATCTAGTTTTAAATTGAACATGTGGGTGCCCTTATTATATTATTTACTAAAATGTAGGAAACACTTCAGCAACTAATGGTTTTTAGTGTTCTAATAGATGAGCATTTTCTTGAGTTTTGCTTTAAACTTTCAACATCAGTTTTTATATCACTTTTCTTAGCAGTGATACAATTATGCAAAACAAACAAAAATCTTTCCATAAGGAAGCAAAGCTCTATTATACACATACTAAAATGTTGAGAATTATATATGTTAATATGGGATGGTGCTTTTTTCTGAAAACATGAAAAATTATCAGATACATGTAATTTACAGAACAAAATGTTCAAGCATTTTCTGTATATTAGTATGTTGCTTCTTATTCCCATATCAAGCTGTTTCGATAGTATAAGTATGATAGCTCTTCTCTGTTACACTAAAATGAGTGTATTTGTGATTGATTCTTCCTCCTTCACAAAAAAATAACTTATTTAGATTTTAGAGAAGAGGTCATAGTTTCATATCAGACAGCATTTTTCCACATTAACTTGAGGGAGGCATGATCAGAAGATCTTTTCAGATGTAACCACCAATCATGTATATAGTAAGATCAATTGTGGCAAGACTATTAATTATTTGTCTGATATGTGAGTATAGTACAGCTGAGAGAAAATATAATTGATATATACATACCTATACTGGTCTAAACACCATGGGCATAAGATGTATCTTAGACCATGGACGTAAGATGTATCTAGTAAAGGAGCCAAAACATGCAGATCTAACATGCAGTGTTGGATTGTCAAGTGATGAATATGGATTTGTGATATCTGTTTTTACAAGGAACAATGTTCTTATTGTACTGGATATTAAATAATATGGGCTTTTGTTTTTACTACCAATTCTGAACTGTAACATGTTATGTACTCCCAGTGTGATGATTTCTTAAAGGTGTGAAATTTGTAGCATGACTGTATAAAGTTCCAAACTTCTTGTTCTTTCAATGAGCAATAGCACTGATTTATGTTCCACTCCCAGGTGTTGCATATATTTTCTAAACAATATTGTTAGGCAAAATTGTTACTAATCTTATCTTTATGTGGCAGACAATGGTTAATATTGCAATATTTTGATTTTTATGGAAAAATACATGAAATGGATTTTATCTTGATTTAGGACACCCATTTCTGAATTGTATTGACATGCTGTACAAATTTTAAACAGTTTTTTAAAGGGTTTGAAGTAGAATACTGGAATTTTTAAATTGTCAATCTTGCTTCCTCTGCATATTTTGGTTTGTTCCATTCCTACTTCCTTATGTGAATTCTGCCTTTCTTACGTTTTAATAAAATGGAACATTTCTAAATTATTCATGATGGTATAAAATGAAAAAAGACATTAAAATATATATAACCATTTTATTTGGGGAATAAAATTTGGTTGTCGGGGGGAAAAGACAGCATAGAACACAATAGATATTGGCTATTCAGAAATAGGCCAAAATCCTCAAAGTTACACTGAATAAAGCTGCATAAATAAAAGTTAAAGTTTTAGTAAAGCCTTTTTTAACATTAAAAATAGAACTATTCATGACAACTTAGCACCATGTTAAGATTCAAACTGAAATTGGTAACTGAGACAAAGGATATAGGCACTGGCTATGGCACTTGCTATGGTGGAGACCAACTCAGTTTCAATTTGTATGAATTCATTAAGAGATGTACCAATCCACTTAAAAATTTAGTTTGGATTATGGGTTATTTTATCTCTACCAGAAAATCCAGCTTCAAAAGAATTTTCTCATTGTGACTCTTTTTAGGTCAAATTTTAATGTACATGCATAAAAGTTATTTTTTTAAAAAAAAAAAAGTGCTAAAGACCTAAACAACAAAAAGATCAGAGAGCCTCTGCCAATTGGGCATTAACTGAAAACTGTTTAACCTGGAAAAGTTCTGTGACCTTAATCATTTAGGTTGTTACAGGGTTTTCTCTGGCTCTGAGATTTTCAAATATCTACAACCTATTGAGCCTCTCAGTTAAAAACCACCTGGATATCCATCTTACAATCAATTGGATAGCTCCATCCCCAACAGAAGCAGGTAGAAAGGAGTTTCCAAGATGTCTTAGTGATCATTGCATACTTCTGGCTTATTTTTGCAACGTGAATACAAGGATAGATTGGTAATGAAGGATTTCCCGAATATCTGCACATTCAAGAGAGAAAAGGTGGGATATAAATCTAAAAAATAAAAATAGTACCAAGGTGAACTAGATGCTACAACTTGAGCTTCACTTAAATCAGAATTGTCAAATGGTACAGGGTATCCTGCTTGAGCAGGGGGTTGGACTAGAAGGCTTCTAAGGTCCTTTCCAGCTCTATTCTGAATTGAATTGATTCTACATTGCTTTTTTTTGTCAAGGGTGGTAAACAGTAGATATTAGGGAAAAAGTTGACAGAGCATCCTTAAAATGCTGTTCTGCCAGGCAGTATGTGTTCCTTAAACAGTTTCAGTACCATTGTCCTGTTCTGCACTTAACAAATTTGAAATGTTTATGCAGGCTGGGTCTGGCTACTGCTTTTTTCAGATTTGCAACTTAATTTTTTATTTAAAATATATTTGAAAGCAGAACCAAGATTTATTAACCAAATAAAGAAGGAAAAATAGAAATAAAATCATGAGCGATATAAAACTGAGTAAAACTTATTAACATATTAATATTGCATATAAAAATGATCTTGCATCAATTTAGCACTTGAAAACCACTAATGGTTAAGATACAAGGGTAGAAAACAAGGAGATTGAATTCTAGTCATGCATGAAAAAATTAGCTGGGAGACTTTGGACCAATTACTTTCAGCCAAACTAATCTCACACAGTTGCTGTGAGGAAAATAGGGATGAGTGTCAAGTACTCTATGTTCACTACTTTGAATTATTTATAAAATAAAGTTGGAGTAAAAAAAAATCTAAAGAAACTATGATAAGAAACCTCAGAATCAGATGGTCTAGCTTTACCGATTATCAGGCAAGATCTTATTTTACACCCTTGGTTAAGAAAAGGCCAGATTTTAGCGCAAAATTATCTGCAAAGTTATAATCCATAAAAGATATCCAGGTCAAATTTAGACAAAATATTATAAAGGAATCCTCAAAATATAAACTACATAAGGAAGTCGAACAAGGTCCCAGAAGGCACTAACGGACCTTTCAGTGTTGTCAAAATAACTACATGGTAGTCACCGGGATCCGAATTCTACTCCATGAAGTTTGCATTCAAGAACTAATTTAAGTGTTTGTAAGATCCTCCTCTGAGAACTCTCAAAGGTGCTTTTTCAAAAGGCAACTGGACTGTTTTTCCTTCAGGAAGATTTTTTTGCTTCTCACCCAAGAAGCTTCATTAGTTATGACTGGATGGTGGGGGGAATGGAAGGGTAGGTTCCTGTAGCCTGCAAGTTTTCTGGAAATCAGTCCGTACTCCCGCACCATTCATTCCCAAAGTGACCGAGAATCTCCATAGACACTCCTCCGAGAAGAGTTTCCCGCAGGCCCGGATTACTACCTGGAGAAGTCTATCACGCCACGATTGGCAGAACGATCCTTCTTTCGCTCCTGCTACAGCTACAGTAATTGACAGCTGAAAATTTCAGCCGCCCCGCCTCTTTTTTTTTTCTTCTTCTTCTTTTTTTTTTTTGAGAGTGCGCACGCGTGGTTTTGCGCCGCGAGGGAATCTCTTAGTAGTTTCCATCGAAGGAACTGCGCCTGCGTGAGCGCCGGAGACTTGCATAGAATTTAAGCGCGTTTCTGTCGCTGAAGGAAGAAGTAGGATACATCGACGGAAGGCGAGCGGAGGAGGAGCCGCTTGTTTCGGGCCTTTGGAAGGAGGTGGCTGAAGCGGGTACCTGGGCAAAAGCTTTGGTATGAGGAGGAGGCGGCGGCGGCGGCGGAGGTGGCTGCTTTGAGGGCGGAAGGAAGAAGAGCGGAGAAGGGAGGAGAGCCGAGCGACGCGTGCACCTCTCCCAGCCCCGCCGCCCCGACCGCCAAAATGGGTAAGGGGGATAAGGCTGATCTTGGCGGAGGGTCGAAGCATCTGGTCAACCCCGCTGGATAAAAGCTGGGTGTTGACGTCAAAAGAGGAGAAAGCTTTAACGGTGCTAAACGGTTTGGCCTTGTTGCTGGCTGTGCGGGTTCTTCTCTGCGGGAGAAAGTTTAATTTAATAATAATAATAATAATAATAATAATAATAATAATATAATAATAATAATAATAATAATAATAATAATAATAATAATACCACCTGGTGATGCACGGATTGAAGATAAGAGGCAAGAAAAAATCACAAAGTACCGGGACTTGCAAATTGAAGTTGAGCGACTGTGGAAAAAGAAATCCTGTGTTGTCCCGATTGTAATTGGAGCCCTTGGAGCAATACCCAAAGGGCTACCCCGCTATTTAGAAATTCTAAATTTACCAGACCTGAACATTTTGATTCTACAAAAAACCACCTTACTCGGAACAGCTTACATTCCCCGAGGATACCTTAACAGTTCCTAGGTCCTTGGTTAGGACTCGAGCTGCTGAGTTATTAACCAGCCTCAAAGGCTGTGAATCTCATCAAAGATTAACCAATAATCATCATCATCATCATCATCGCAGCTTCGTACATGGGAGCGATCTAAATGTATAGTCCTGCCTTGGGTTAGCAGCTTTGCCTGAAGCACTGATAAAACTTCAGGAGGTTCACAGAGTGCTGCTTGCATAGGAATGGTTTTGTCTGACAACCTTCAGTTTTTAATCGCAATCCAGCGTTTGAATCGTGCATGGATGGGAGATTTGCCGGAGGGGGGGGCAGGGGCGGGGGTGCTTGCTGAATATTTTGCTTGATATTTGGTATGTTCAGTCGAGGCTTGTAGGCTTGCAGCCCTAGAAAGTCTTTGGGAACTTGCGGTGGGGCCAGATTTGGGTTTGTACTAGCATTCCAAAACCCATTAACAAGAAACTGATGCAAAAATATGTTTGGTGCTTTTTAAACTTGGGAGTTGTTCTCAGTGTCATAACAGAATCAAGTTCATAATTCTTTCACCCAAAATACATGCCAGGTCCTCCTCTTCTGAAGACAGAGAAAATATTTTCTCTTTTTTTAATGTTGAAAAAAAGTTGAGTATATGAAAATAGCCCAGAGATCTACTGATATATCATAATTATCTGCCCTGTTCTACTCTGTACATGGGCATTGGGATATGGATGCTTCAGTGTGCAGAAGAGCAGCTGTGCTTGTTTTCATATTCTGGGGTAAAAAAAATCAGTTTATAATCTTTCTTTGATGGGGACCTTATATTATTGAAATGTGCAATGACCAAATGAGATCAGACATCAGTGGTTGCTAAGGCACTCCTGGCACACTTGTGATAGCATTTACAATTTCCCCAAATTAACTAGAAATAAATTGGATGAAATCTCATGAAGTAATGAGATTCTCCATATACTGACTAATTTTATATTATTTCCCCCTACTAGTTATCCTTTTTAAATAAAAAAAAGAATTGATTTAGTTTATACAGATGTGAGTTCAGACCAGGGGTGAAATCTACTTACCTTCCCTACCGGTTCAGAAGTATATGCACCGCTCGGTGCGCAGACTCTCTGCACATGTGCAGAGGGTAAAAAACAGGTTACTTCCTGGTTAAAACCAGGAAGTAATGACGACCAGGCAGGTGGGCGGAGCCTCGTGCTACCAGTTCTCCGAATCACCCGCCGCCATCGCTACTGGTTCAGCCGAACCAGTCCAAACTGGTAGCATTTCACCCCCTGGTTCAGACTCAGAATGACTTGCTGTCCTTCTCTTTAACAACCAACACAGACACTCTCTCTGTGTCTCTGTCTCTGTCTCTCTCTCTCTCTCTCTCTCTCTCTCTCTCTCTTTATGTTTATATGTATATGTATCGGTATATGTATGTATGTACACACACAGTGCATCCAGAAAGTTTTCAGGCCCTCTTCACTTTTGTCAATTTTGTTATGCTGCAGCCTACAGTTTCTACAGTTGTTAAAATTCATTTTCTCATTAATCTACACTCAGTACCCGATTATGACAAAGTGAAAACAGAATTTTAGAAATTCTGGAAATTTATTAAAAAGAACAAACTGAAATACCACATTGGCTTAAGTATTCAGACCCTTCACTCATAGTTTGTTGAAGCAATTTTGGCAGCAATTGCAGCCTTGAGTCTTTTTTGGTACAACGCAACAAGCTTTGCATGCCTGGATTGGGGGATTTTCTGCCATTTTCCTTGCAAATCCTTTCACGTTCAGCCAGGTTGAATGGTGACAGTTGGTGGACAGCCATTTTCAGATCCCTCCAGAGATGTTCAGTAGGGTTCAAATCAGGATTCTGACTTCAGAGAGTTATTCCTAAGGCACTCCTATGTTGTCTTGGCTGTATGTTTAGGATCATTATGTTGGAAGGTGAACCTTCGGCCCAGTCTGAGGTCCTGAGCACTGTGGAACAGGTTTTCATTGAGTATATCCCTGTATTTTGCTCCCTTCAGCTTCCCCTCAACCCTGACCAGTCCCCCAGTCCCTGCTGCTAAAAAGCACTCCAACAGCATGATGTTCCACCACCATGCTTCACTGTTGGGATGGTATTACGCATGTGATGAGCGGTGCCTGGTTTAGAATTGTGGACAAACAGTTCAGTCTTGGTTTCATCAGACCAGAGAATCTTGTTCCTCACAGTCAGAGTCCTTCAGGTGCTTTTTTTGCAAATTCCATGCTGATGTTCATGTGATTTGCACTGAGGAGAGACTTCCATCTAGCCATTCTGCCATAAAGCCCAGATCAATGGAGAGCTGCAGTGATAGTTGTCCTCTGGAACTGTCCCATCTTCACATAAGATATCGAGTTCAGGCAGAGTGACCATCGGGGGGTTGTCACCTCTTTTACTAAAATCCTTCTTCCCCCTATTGCTCAATTTGACAGGGCAACCAGTTATTGGAAGAGTCCTGGTTGTGCCAAACTTCTTCCATTTGAGAATTATTGAGGCCACTGTGCTCTTAGGAACCTTCAGTGCAGCAGAAATTTTATTGTAGCCTTCTCCAGATCTGTGCCTTGCAATAATCCTGTCTCTGAGCTTTGCAGGCAGTTCCTTTGACCATATTGCTTTTGCTCTGCTACAGTCACAGTATGCATTGTCAGCTGTTAGCCTTCTACAGAGAGGTATATGGCTTTCCAAATCATGTCCAATCAATTTAATTTATCACAGGCAGACTCCAATCAAGGTATAGAAACATGTCAGCAATGATCAAGAGAAGTGGGAGGCACCTGAGCTAAATTTCAAGTAGTGTTGGAAGGGGTCTGAATACTTATGCCAATGTGATATTTCCATTTTTTCTATTTAATAAATTTACAGATATTTCTTAAATTTTGTTTTCACTTTGTCATTATGGAGTACTGAGTGTAGATTCACGAAGAAAAATTTCAGCAACTGTACAATCAAGAGTATCTCCCTCTCTCTCTCTCCCTCTCTCTCTCTCTCTCTCTTTCTCTCTCTCCTCCCCCCCCCATGGGTTTCTTTTGTGTCTTTGACTTTACTATCCAATTAACATTTTCTTAGATATGAAGATATGAATCCACTTATTTCATAGTCAGTGCCTGTACACATTCCATTTATAAAGTTGTAGTGAATTTAGTTCCAGTTTGCATCATTTAATCTTATAAATCCCCTTTTGAAAATTATGTTTGTTAGTATCAGGGCTGGTGATTGCTTAAATCTTTTCAGCCTAGCCATTTCATTAGCAAGAACTGATAGTGTTCCTGCTGCTTTTACTTAGTTTGGATGAGGTGATGGCACAAAGCGCTGGAGCAAAGTAATGTTTTATAACCATATTGCTCATGGCTGAAAAGCTATTGTGGACTCTGCTACTTTTTCTGAACAGAGCACTGATTGCAACTATCTCCCTGGATTGCTTATCTAGTATGTAACTTACCTTCAGTTTTAAATTTATTTGCTATAGAAATTGGAGAGCCCACGTGTGTGGGTTATATATGTGCATCTTCTTTTATAACATTCAAATATAATTTTTTTTTAAAAAAGCATTTTAAAAAGCATTTAAAAAGCATTTTCCCAGATATTTTTTCTATAAATTAGATGGCAAATATACATATAGCACTATCCCATCTATACTTCTGATCTTGGAGTAAAAACAAGTGACCAAGACATTTAGCATAAGTTCCCGTTGTTGTTTTTCAGGACACATCACTTTAAATAATTTCAGATTTCTCTTGTGGAAGTAATTCAGACAGTTCAGATAAACATTAATGGGGCTATTTGTTTTAAACTCAAAATAAAGTTTTCCCATTTTATGTGTAACTTTATATTTTTTTTCTACTCTCATTTAATTAGTTATTTACTCATTCTGAGTTTATTTTGGAATCTTTGATGAAGCATTTTGTCAAAGGTCTTTAAAAGTCAGGTTGTAATATTGTCTGTTACATCAAATCTGCAACATTTTTCCTCAGTAATTGATCGAAGAAAAATTTAATAACTTAGAATTTCTTTTACAGAAACTACGCTTACTTTCCTGCAGCAAGACTTTTCTTCTATGGCGTGTTTTTCTGTTTTTAATCATATTTTCCATGTGAGACACTATCTTGTGTAAAATTATTCTGCCCACTTTATTAGACTAGAGAGAATAAAGTTCTTAAAATTTGCTACATGTGAAGTGCAGAGTACATGGGATAAAAAGCAGATCTTCCCAGTTAAGGTTTCTAAACTATAGAATATATTGCTGATGGAGAGTTTCTTTGCTTCTTACTTTCAGCTATTTCAGATTCTTTGATCACTTATCAGACACATTTGACTAGTCACTGTAAAAATACTGTAAATAAATATAAACAATATACTTGCAAAAGACACTAAAATTAATTAGTCTGTAATATTTTAAAGTATTCAGTTCCTTTCAAACATGCTATGCATGTTCCTTAATTGCTGTTAGCTACTGGTGGATGCAGCTAACAAATGCAGCTATTCCACCTGCAAACGTAAGTATG